CAGAACGGCTCTTCATGAAGAGCTGACGATCAACAAACGGATGGATGGATGGATGGATGGCGTGCATCGGGACGCATTAGCGGAGGGCTTTGAATTGTTTCCCCGTGCACGGGACGTCCCGGTGGGATATCAAAGACAGAGCGGCTGTAAATCTCCCGCCGGCCGCAGTCAGAGTGTCAAAAGTCAGACGCATTTAGTTTGCAGCGTGTGACACATTGAAGAATATAATAATTCAAATCATCTGTGCTTTCATCTTCAGAGACTCAGAGAGATCAGAGATGCGCTGAGTTTTATTTCTTTCACATGCAACACTTCATGTGTTTACGAGAAAAACACCAGCTGAAAGACATCCAGAAATCACAAAATGACTCCCATCTCACGGTGAATGATTCATTAGTGCAAGTTATTATAAAGAATTAAAGTCTGTAAGTAAGTTCATAAAAACTAGCATTATTTTATTGTATAATTAAAGATTAATATTATTACATATAAAAATACTATTAAATATTTATATTCAATATTATAAAATAATATTACACAATAATAATAATAAATAATTTACTTTTAAATTAAATATTGATTTACTTTCATATCATTTTGTTATTTTGAATTGTATTAATTTATAAGTTAAATATTTATATTTAATATTAATAAATTATAATTTAATAATATTAAATAATAAATTTTAAAAAACTACTTATTACACTACAATACTACAGTTCACTTACATAATCGTTCATTAAAATGTGACAAATTTCTGAAAACTTATTTTCTGCTGATGAAATCAAGGCCATGTGGGCGGGGCTAAAAAATATTAACCATTCCAATATTATCCAATAATATTAACATCAATCTAGAGACCAGAAGATCACAGGGATTTGAAGATGGACTCTTTTCACATGGAGACAGTACCAAATTACCTAGCAACCACTCAGTTAACAATTTAAAACAGTGTAGCAACACCCTGACAACCACACAGAACACTGTAGTAACACCCTGGCAACCACACGGAACACTGTAGCACCAGCCTAGCAACACCCTGGCAACCACACAGAACAGTGTAGCAACACCCTGGCAACCACACAAAACACTGTAGTAACACCCTGGCAACCACATGGTACACTGTAGTAACACCCTGGAAACAACACAGAACAGTGTAGCAACACCCTGGCAACCACACGGAACACTGTAGTAACACCCTGGCAACCACACGGAACACTGTAGTAACACCCTGGAAACAACACAGAACAGTGTAGCAACACCCTGGCAACCACACGGAACACTGTAGTAACACCCTGGCAACCACACGGAACACTGTAGTAACACCCTGGCAACCACACGGACCACTGTAGCACCAGCCTAGCAACACCCTGGCAACCACACAGAACAGTGTAGCAACACCCTGGCAACCACACAGAACACTGTAGTAACACCCTGGCAATCACACGGAACACTGTAGCACCAGCCTAGCAACACCCTGGCAACCACACAGAACAGTGTAGCAACACCCTGGCAACCACACAGAACACTGTAGCACCAGCCTAGCAACACCCTGGAAACAACACAGAACAGTGTAGCAACACCCTGCAACCACACAGAACAGTGTAGCAACACCCTGGAAACCACACGGAACACTGTAGTAACACCCTGGCAACCACACAGAACACTGTAGCACCAGCCTAGCATCACCCTGGAAACAACACAGGACAGTGTAGCAACACCCTGCAACCACACGGAACACTGTAGTAACTAGGGCTGGGTATCGAGTTCGATACTTTTTAGGCACCGACCGAATTGCCTCGATACCATCGAGTATCGAAAAACGTCTTGTCGTTCGGTACCAAATTTCGATACCTAAGGGGTTAAGTGTCCGTTCATACTAACGTTACACGACCGAAAGCGCGTGTAATGTGACCATTCATGCAAACTGTAGCATCATGCTACATAAGACAATAGCCCTAGTAGTAACACCCTGGCAACCACACGGAACACTGTAGTAACACCCTGGCAACCACACGGAACACTGTAGCAACAGCCTAGCAACACCCTGGAAACAACACGGAACAGCCTAGCAACACCCTGGCAACCATAAAGGAACATTCTAGAATCCCGGCGGTGGATTTTGCACTTCCAAACAGCACATACATTTTTTTTCTTCACATAATGTAAACATAGTTATGAGTCTTGCAGACAATACTAGCATAAATTAGAAATAATGGCAAAATAAAAGACTTCTATTTCACACTGTGCACAGCTCTTTCTTTCCTCCCGTCATGAGCAACACTGCCACCTCTGAGCTCATTCATGCTCACCCACAATCCCCTGCTCTCATTGGCCACGCTCACTTCCTGCAATTACACGAGCGAAAGACGGGGTCAAAGGTCAGCTAATGCAGCTCAGACTGCAGACAGACGCGCAGCTGCGACCCTGAGCCAGAACAAATACACACAATACTCATTTCATATGCTAACTGATAACCGTATAACTCAGAATCTGGTTATTTATTTTGGAAATTCAATAAAAATAAAGACTTATATATGAAACAACAACAAGTAATGCTCATTTTTGCTCAGCGGTTTCACATTATGCCATGTTTTTATGCCGTCCTTATGTGTAAATAACATAAAGCAGAGTCCCTTAACTTCACACCACACCTCTGAGAACGATCTGAGCTCATTATTCAGACTCTAAACTCTGACCTCTGCAGCTCCAGGCTGGAAATTCACCTTAGTGAAGGAATCTCACACGCCTCCGTTCTCCAGGAACATCAGAAGCTTGTTCAATTCTCCCAGAAGCCCTTGGGGTATGCAGATTCAGAGCACAAAGGCGCAGTGTTCGGCGGCGTCCGCGCGCACAATAGCCACATTAAACGTCTGAGAGATGTTGGAAAACGTAGCTGACGGTTTTTAGAGAAACTCTAATCAGATAAAAAACTACAGGAACAAACACACGTCACCGCTCAACAACCACTGCTAATCACGGCACGCTGAAGCTGATCATGCCAAAGAGATTTCATTCTGAAAGACGGACGGGCCAGTTAGTGATAAATTGGTCATGCAAAACAATCAGACAATTTTCAGGTTATTTTGAGATTTTCATAATTGGTCATAACTGCACACGTTCAGCTGACTAACTGAAGACATCATTCCACTTTTCTACATTTTCCAACATTACTCTCAATAAATAATGCACATTTTCTGTGCCTTTTTGTTTGTTTGTTGATATTTTAAATATTTAAATATTTATATATTAAAAGTATCTTAAACAATATATATATTGTGTAAAATAGGAGTTAATTTACATTCAGCATCTTAAATAAATGTAAAAATAAATGTAAATTTAAAATTCAAATAAATTAAATAAAATTAATGTAAAATGTATTATATAATCAAAAGAAAACTAAGTTAAAATTGAAATGTTTTTATTTTGTTTAATATTTTAATAATAATAAACTTATTATTAGTATTATTATTATTATATTAAAAATATTAATTATAAGTTAATAATAATAATAATTATTATTATTATTAACTTATAATTAATATTTTTAATATAATAATAATAATAATTATTATTATTATTAACTTATAATTAATATTTTTAATATAATAATAATAATAATTATTATTATTATTAACTTATAATTAATATTTTTAATATAATAATAATAATAATTATTATTATTATTAACTTATAATTAATATTTTTAATATAATAATAATAATAATTATTATTATTATTATATTAAAAATATTAATTATAAGTTAATAATAATAATAATATGAAATTTAATTTATTAATTAAATACATTTTATTACAATTTAATACATTTAATAATTACATTTAAAATATATTCATTTAAACTTTACTTTTTTAATATGATAATCATTATTTTATGTTCACATATTTTAAATCATACAGCATTGGCCAAATTGTGCAGTGAAATAAAAGCAGTAAAACAGCGCCGGCCCACTGGGTTTAATTCAAACAAGCCTACAGCCGCCAAAGCCAGCCCACACAGACAAAATGAGCACTTTCCCACACGCAGGCTTTTAGAAATCCCACCCAAAACACACATCGGGCCTGTAATGGCTTTCTCTCATTACGCCGCAGTAGAAATGACTCCTGTAGCCGCTGACACTCAATAACACCGACACGCTCCCAAAGAACCGCTTATCAGACACACGATACTCACGGATATCACAACACACACGCTACGATTAAAGACCGATTCACTGGACGGCCAAAACCCATGAGGTCAGATCAGATCCAAGGACGAGGATGATGATGATGATGAATCTGTGCTCTTCACTTCATCAGCTGCTCCACAGACAGCAGAAAAGTCAAGCTCAAAGCTCTCAAACAAGTATTATAGAGTACAAGTACACACTGCATAGTATTCAGCAAGTAAACAAACTAGTACTCCATTCCCAACACAAAGCCCGTGTCTGAACCCAAAGTTGTAATGAGCTTTATCTGAGCTCTCGCTCGTGGGAAAATCAGCCTCCGAATCACACAGCGCTCGTTTACGTGTGTGAAACACAGAGTATAAATGAATGTGTTTATCTTGTCATTTATTCAATGGTAAAATACTTTCTTACATCCCAAATTACACTTTAAACACTTTCAAAACATCGATTTGCTTGAAAAGCGGCCCAACTTCTGACTCAACCAACGGCGTGAGTTCGGGGGCGGGGCTACCTGCGCGACTGACCAATGGCAGGTGAGGAGGGCGTTTGGGGAAACTGTTTGAAAACAGTCATTATTTTTTCCAGTTCAGTTTGGTGACACTAACTGAGCACTAATGAAAACACTGTGAAACACTTTTTCACTGTGAACGTGACGGCTTCAGCTTTATTCACAACAATCACAATTATTTCAGCAATTAATCACTGATGCAAAACTCAACCAGACATTAAATACTGTATGAATCAAATGCAAAATAAAAACATCAGCCACCGAAAAACACGTTTCGTTTAGTCTCGCACAGATTGTCTTACCTCAGTCCGCAGATGAATGAAGCTCCTTATGGATTTATGATGTTCAGATCTCTCAACATCTACAAGAACAGTCAAACAGAATATAAGACCTTGATGAGGAACAATAAATCATATCCCTAGAAGTTATGCAATATCATTTAATAGCCTATCGAAATAAGCGGTCAGGAATCATCCCTGATCAAACCGCAATTCACCAACAAGTCAAGAAACTTTCGATAATAATCTAAACAATGAGAGATTGATGTGTTTGGTTTCATTACTAATCATTTGCATGCTTGAAAATCTAGGCTAAACTGACACAAACTCTCCACAGACTTAATAAAGTCTCTTAATTCAAATGCATGAGTATGAATGCAGTTAAACCTCTCACTCGAGTTCTTCTCCGTCCATCACAACAGACGCACTTTATTTTCCTTAAACTAAGCCTAAGTGCCGACAGCTGCTCGTGAGAATGATCCTGAGACACTGCGGTGGGAATCAGCGAGACTCGCGAGAAAACGCCGAAACTTTCGCAAATACGCACGCGAACCCTGCGCGCGGCTCACAGATCGCCAGTGCGTTTGTCGATAAACACGGCGAATGAAACCCTGAGAGTCCCAGTGATCGCGTCAGACTGGCGTCCAAACACTCACCTTCATTCACGAGCCTCTACAGTCCGTCAGAAAGCGGCATCAGCTCCTCACGAGAAACATCTGGCGATGAATTACTCGATGCAGCTTGTGCTGGAGATTAAACGGACTCCTGCCCCACTCGAGGAGGAAAGCTGGTTTTCTTTCCTTCAGAGAGAGTGTGTGTGTGTGTGTGTGTGTGTGTGTGTGAGGCGCACAGGCTCCAACCACTGACGCATCAGAGAAATACACCTCTTCTAAACGTCTATTTGACATCTGATAGGAGACGTCTTGCAGATGTAAATGCAGACGTCTCTGTGATGTACGTGTGCTGTCAGGAAAGTGAATGTAACCAAGGCTATGCAATATAATAGCCTATGTGCATTAAAAGGGTAACAATCACATTGCATTCTAACATTGTAACATTACGATCTAAAAACAAATATGATGCTTCTTAAGGCAGAAGTTAAATTCACTAAACTAAAACACATACTAGTTGTATGAGGCTATTTTGATTACCCCATTACAACAGTCTAACTTCACAGTTAGGCTACCGCTCTCATAAAAATACACTTAGGCCTACTTGTAGGTTTAAAATTCTAGATACGGCGCATTTTTTGTCGAACAAGAAATATTGTACCAGAATGTATATTTAGAATGTTTATTCTTATTCTATTACGTCTGTTGGTTTAGCGGAGAATTGCACTCTCATCCACTCCTGACAGGAAAAATTGAAATATTTTAACGACTTTCTAACATTTACAGATGGAGGTTGTGAAATGTAAGTCCTGCTCTGTGGAAAACAGCGCATCTCAAGCGCACGAGTCTGTCAGAGCAGCTTTAAACTAGTCCTGTTAACTATATCTTAACAGTTATTTTAAAGCCCTTAATATAAAGCTTGTCTCATGTTTAGAACAAATGCACTTTCCCCGCAGCGGCTCACTCACTGCTATTATTATTATTCAGATGCGCTCGAATCAAACCACTGTAGATATCGATATAAATGGTATTGCCTCATACATACCATATCGCTTAGGCCTATAAAAAACATATCGATATATCGTACAAACTCGATATACTGCCCAGCCCTACTTCACCATCAAAAACACACCTTCAGCAGCATATACATACAACTCATATCATAAAATAGGCCTATATAAAATAAAAACCTCAAACCTCGCAGAAACGGGCAGAAACCACACAAAATACACCATCATATAATCCAAAAAATACAAAATATTAACCTAATGCACCTGAAATTGCAACAACCTGAATTTATATTAGGCTATTTAATATTGGCCTATGTTTATATAATATACAATACACCTACATCACCATATTCCTGCTCTGAACCTCAAACTATCAGAAATACAGCTTTATCAAACACATAGCTGTAACAAAAAGAAAAGTGGATTTTTTTTGAACAGGTGGTGGCGCTATGGAGTAGCCTATGTTGCAGAGACCCCAAAATTGGTCAGATTACTATTCAGGACCAGTGTATTAATAATACATCTGTGTATTAAATTTTAGCATTTTCCTAGGTTGGTTCTTCAACCATATTAGGCTATAGCTACCTGAAACTAAATAATCTAGTAGGCTATATAAAAATAATCTATAATTATGTAATTAAATATATATCTACACAGTGCTTGAAGTGGATAAATCTAATTAATTAGTTATAGAAAAATATAAAATTTTAAGGCAATCAACGCCCCCACGCGCAGAACGATCAGTGTTTGGCATCAAAGTACCGCGAGAGCGATTCGAAAGCATAAAGAGCCGTCTGCTCTCGCGATACTTGGATTTCATACAGCGATCGAAGTCGAACACACGTGCAGTTAATGGTGACGAACAAGATGCAGGACAGCAGCTCACTGCGTGATGGAGCCTATAGAATGAGGTTATATGACACGAGCATAGATGTGATGATAGGCCTATTGATTTTATACAACAGTTCAATAAATAAGAACTTAATATTGTGTTTTATTTTAAACACAATATTGTCTGTTTTTGCTCAGTTTTGCCAACGCAAATATTACCTATTAAAGCCACAGCAGAACTGTTGTGCGTCTCCAAGCAACACACAATTTTGAATGAATCCGTGTTTTGAACGAATCGGGTGAACCAATGATTCGAGTCGTTTACTTCATTCCTGAATCAATCAGCCGTTTGAAGGAATCGAATGAATGAACGACTCAGTGACTTATTCATTAAGACATTTACTGCCACCTACTGGAAGTTTTAGTTTCTTATTTAGAGTATCATTTCATTAATATATAATACATTATAATATATTATATAATTATTATAGTATCATTTCATTAAAAAATTATTTATTTCAATACAAAGGATATATATAGCCTATATATATATATATGTAAAAAGAAAATGAAAAAAATAAACAATTCTAAAGCTACTTTTTGTAATATCTATTTCATGATTTCTCATGTAACAAAAAGAACAAATAAGGGAGATGAAGTGTTTAAGGAGCAATGAAATATAAGGCCAAATTACAGACATTTGTGTTATAAGCATTTCAATTTATACCAAACAAATGTGTTTATAGACTAAAAAAATCAATACCATAAAACTCTTTTAGATATTATAATTATTACAATTTTACCCTTTAAAACGAAGTTGTTTACTCATACACACACAGACACAGACACACACACACATATATATATATATATATATAATAAGAGTGTGTTAAGGTTGTGTTGGTCCAATTCATTTTTACTCTTAAAATAAAATGATGTACAGCGTGATTAAGACACCTGATGCTGCTGTAATATTGCTGGTTTTACATATCAAAAATTGTCTAATTATTGTTTGATCAATATGCTAACATAAAAAAGCTCTCTTTATGAATGGATGATAGACTTGACATCATTACGTCATCACGAGTGACGTCATCACGTCAGGGCGTAAAATAACCGGTTTTTATGAACCGGTTCGCGGAAAAGAACCGGACTTCCCATCACTAATCATAATCACGCGCACATAATCCTGGAGCAGGTACAGTATGTCTGAAAGTTTTTTTTTAGTTATGGAGGACTAATGCGGTTAAACCTTTGTATAATCTGATCATCATGAACATGCATTGCACCTACTGGCAAACTCAATCATTGCCGGAAGGCGGTGTGTGTTCGCGAATATCCATTTCCCAGGGACTGATAATAATCCGGCCTCATATGAAAGGCGAGCGCAGGCTGTGTGTTTGTGGTGGTGATGGTTTGGGATCTGGAGCCCGAAGGATCGCTCTCAGGTGACCCGCAAAATACACAATGACACTCACTATTAAAGCATTTACAGTAGTGACGTGTTTCCCATGATGCGGTGTTATTTTAGAGTCACTGATAATGCTATTATAGTTTTTGAATATTTAAGTTATATTCTCTGATTTTTAGATTTTATTTTTATATTGGATTGTACTTTTTTTCTATATATTTTCTAAGTTTTAGTAAATTTGTTGTTTTTGTCATTTTTATTATTTTATATAGTTTTTATTAATTTTTTTAAGTTAATAATAGACTAATATATGTACTTCAAATAATAAATGTTGTGATCCATGTTGTATGAAGAAACTATTATAGTTTTGTTAATATTCTGAAATAAATTTTAAACTGTTATATTCTCTGATTTTAGATTTTTCTAGATTAATATAGAATAATTCTATATTATATTTCAAATATTTTT